ATTTACATTAATACCAGGAAAGTTTTCAACACTCAGAATTCCACTGAATATAAAAGTCAGGTTTGCCATCACCACAACTCCTGGATGACACGAGCTCACTGCACCTCCTGTCCCAGAGAGGTTTTGCTCCAGGCAGAATCCAAGCATGTCTTGAGATGATCATCACACAACAAGGTCTGCATGCCCCTTGCTTTGAATCCTCCCAGAACTCTATGAGAACATGGTGACATGGAATTTTAGTATTAATGAATTTCTGCTAAACGCTGACAGAACCCTAAGCCTTGAAAACTTACCAGTCAGTCACCCGGGATTCTGAGAATGTCTGTTGCTTTGTTTGTTTGTTTGTTTTTCATTTTTAAAAAATAGGATTTCTGGTTTACAAATTATATACTCGATATACACCTTTGTGGAGTACCAGAATAGATTTTAAAGCATGCATACCATGTACACTATTTAAGTCAAGGACACACACATCTTCTTCAGCCCTGAATGTTATATTATGCTGTGCACATTTGATAATAGTTCTGCTAGTTTGTGTGAGTGTGTGCGTGTGTGCGTGTGTGTGGTGGGAAGGACTATGTATTGTGTTGCTTACTTTGGAATGAGTTGAAATTTCTTGTTCAAATGCTTGGCTAGAAATAAAGGATTTCTTATGGGTTTGAGAAAATTGTTTCTTTTTCCTTAACAGTTCTTGCATGTTTTCAGAATAAAAATGTGAACTTCTCAGTCTGGCACTTTAAGTGCTGCATAAACTTGAACTTCATTAAATGTCCACCCTCTTTCAGGCACTGCATTTTTCTCTAGAGCACATTGTATAATCTGACAGTTACTCAGAATCCCAGTAATTCCTAGTAATACAATTTGCTCATGGTATTATATTCTCCCAGAATCCTGATACTCCCTCCCTGCCCTTTATATCTCTGTGCTTCAGTGCTTTCCCATACTTCTGCTCTCTGGTTCTTCTAATCAGAATTGATTTTTTTAAATTATTATTTATACATATGAAATGTACTAGGCCTCTTTTATGGCATTTATCTCATTTTTCCTATATTATAGCAATCCACTTAAATCTTAGAACCTTAAGAGAAAAGTTCACTTTCTTTCTTTTTGAAAATTAATATATAATTGGACTGGCAGGAGCTGTGGTGGTTAAAGGAGCTGCAGTCCCACATGGTCGACCATGGTTTGAGTCCCGGACCTGGCAACTTGCTTTCCCACTTTCCCTCTGTCTCTCTCTTGCTCTGCCACTCTCATTCAAAATAAGTGAATAAATAAATAAAGTTAAATAAAGTAATTCTCTATAAAAAGAAAATTAACATATAATAATTATATTTTATGAGCGTACAAGGTGATTGTTCAGTACAAGAATACGACATGTAATGATTAAATTAGGCTGTTAGTGTACCATCACCTCAACTGTTAATCACGATTGTGCTGGGAACATTCAGAAATCAATCCTTCTTTTTAGTTACTGTGAGATGGTGAGTAAGTCATTGTTAACTATAATCTGTCTACTGTGCTTAAAACACTACAAATTCTTTCTTCTATCTATCTCTAATTTGGTGTCTGTATTCAGCATTCTTCTTTTCCTTCCTTCCATCCTTCCCAGACTCAGATAGTCATTCTTTGTCATTTTTTTTTTCTGTTTTCACATACGAAGATGAGCATGTGGTGTTTTTCTCTCTGTACCTGGCTTACTTCATTTAATGTAATGCCCTCCAAGTGCAGCCATTTAGCCTCCAGTGACAGGACTTCAGCCTATTTAATGGCTGAATAGTACTCCTATATATTACCTCATGCTTTATTTATTCATCTCTTGATGAAAAGTGCATTTTCTATTCTTTTTTGTATACTTCAAAAGGCGTTGCAGTTATTAGCTATTCAGTAAATGCAGACTTACATAAATTAATTTAGTATCTCCTGGAAATATCACCTCCTTCTTCCCAAGATGGCAATACTTGCTAACGACTGGGCTGCCCTGCTGGAGCTGTGGGACAGGCGTCAGCAGCAGTACGAGCAGTGCTTGGACTTGCACCTCTTCTACCGAGACAGTGAGCAAGTGGACAGCTGGATGAGCAGACAAGAGGTAACGGGAGGGTTCCGCCAGTCCCCAGAAATCATCCCCTCCTCATTTACCACCACAACTGCTATCAGCATCCTCAAAGCCACTTCTGTAGGTTGAAGTTGGCCCTGGGAACTGGAGGATGGGCCATAAGAAGAAAAATGGGTTCTTTCTATAAGGCTGCTTCTCCAATAGTCAATGGACAAATGCATTAAAAAAAAAAATAATGCATAGCACATATGCTTTAACCACAACTGAACAAGGCAAAATGAGTATCATCTTAGAAAGAGATCTGGAGGAGGAGATTTTGAAGATTCAGGCAAGGTAAATCAAAAATTTCCTGGACTGAGGTGAGTGGTCCTCTTGAGGTCTTTTTGAGAGCTTAGAATAATGCCTTGATTGGTTGGGAGAATTCTATATGGACAGACTCAGAGACATAGGTGAGAATTTTCTGAGAGCATTGGGCAAAAGGTAGAAGTTCCTTGCTGTTTGAGATTAGTCTTCCACATGACCCTAATTGGTACTTATTCCCACCTTACTCTCCAATTTCCTTGCCCTCTTCCTTAGTCCTTATCTCAGAGATGTTTCAAGAGTTGTTTTTTTTTTATTATTATTATTATTTTTAACCAGCAAAGCACATCTGGGATACATCTTTTTATCTTCTACAGGCCTTCCTAGAAAATGAGGACCTGGGGAACTCAGTGGGCAGTGTGGAAGCTCTTCTTCAAAAGCATGACGACTTTGAGGAAGCCTTTACTGCCCAGGAAGAAAAGATCACAGTAAGAAATGGTCCCTGGCTTGAGCATTTGCTGTCTGTTTGCATGCATCGTTTCATGTAACACCCATCCCTAGATAGAACTGCTCCTAGAACTATCAGCTAGCTTAAGGATTACTCTGGATAAAGTTGTATGTGTCTTTTCTGCAAAGAAGAAACTACTGGATTCATATTCAATGCAAAATCATTGCTTAAAAGTTTAAAATGTACTTTTTTAGTTTTTCTATAGGAATGTTGTAGGACAGTTTCTTCTCTAGCAATATCTATATATCTAAGTAATAGGTACTCTTTATAGAATTTTTTAAAAGAGGAAGAGAGAGAGTTTTTAACAGGGTCCCACTGTGTCATAATCTTCCTGACCCAGCTTCCTAGTCAGTTAAGACTATAGTTGCACACCACTGTGCCTGCCTGTTTTTGGTTGGACCAAAAAATCAAATGTGGGCCTTCCATGTGGTCTCAGCCTCTGAGTAGCTATGTCATAGCAGTGCATACCACAGCAGCAGAACTCTTCATTCTTCATAGTAGATATTTATTATTGCGTTTCTTATCTGACGTTAGTACAGAATTTTCCTGAGAACCTTAAGATACATGGGTCCAATGTACTTTATATCTTTAGCTGTCTTTTAGGATGGTGCTGACTTTAAACCACACACGCACTATTACCAACAGCAGCAGTGGCAATCAAATTCTAAGTCTTCCTTGTTAATTTTGACTCAATATGGAGTTTAATATGGCCCATTATTAACCCATATGCATGCTTTATTTATTTTCATTGGTAAAAAGCTAACAGTGCAAAATGATCTTTCTATTTTTAAATTGCTATTATTACTTTAGATCATTTTCTTATTCCAATCCTGAACTCTAGCAACTTGAGGTGTTTATAAGTAAATATGGGTATAAATTTGCCTCTACAATTTCTGGCTCTACTCCCCACATTTCCTCATGGAATTACTAGATGTGGACATAGATACATATGCTAGATGAATAGATGAAATGAATAGATAGATGATAGACAAATCATCAGATGGATGATTAACAGATAAATAGAGTGATAGATATGGAGATACGCCAGCTGGCCAGCCACTGGCCGTGGCTCTATCAGTGATGTTGTTTTCTCATGAAAATTTAAAAATGCATCAAATAATCCCCTTATAGTTACATCAAAATTCATTTACTGTAATCAAGATTAAAAAGATATTGTGGCACAGACAAGCTAATTGACATGCCTGGGGCAGTATACATTTTAAAATGCAATTTAGAGCAAAAATCAGAACCAGGACCTAGATCTTCCAGTCCTCAGACATGTCCTCATTCCATTTTGCTATGCTTTATTATTCAATGGCTTCCCAAACTATGGCCACTTAGTGCTTACTGAAGAACAATACTCTTTTATTTTCCAGACCTTAGACAAGACTGCAACCAAACTAATCGACAATGACCATTATGACTCAGAAAATATCGCTGCTATCCGTGATGGGGTATGTCTAAGGGCCCAGCGCTCCTGCCTACCACTGTGT